CCAGATTAACGGCTCGTAAAATCTAATTAACGTGAGAATTTTTAGAAAGTGCCTAATTAGTATAGGTATATAGATAGATAGATAGATACGATAGATTCTTTTGATTGTTTTTTTTGAAAGGTGCTCTAGATTGCTTTTTTACAACAAACGTTATGTTGGTTTTTTCTTTGATTGCAAGGCTTATATGGGTGGATCTACACCGTTATAATTCGGGCCTAGTAGATGAACGGCCAGTAAGTTCTAATTAATGTGGTAATTTCTGGGGAGTCCAAAATTAGTATAGGTATAGATAGATAGATAGATAGATAGATAGATATAGATAGATAGATAGATACGATAGATTCTTTTGATTGTTTTTTTTGAAAGGTGCTCTAGATTGCTTTTTTACAGCAAACGTTATGTTGGTTTTTTCTTTGATTGCAAGGCTTATATGGGTGGATCTACACCGTTATAATTCGGGCCCAGTAGATGAACGGCCAGTAATTTCTAATTAATGTGGTAATTTCCGCGGAATCCAAAATTAGTATAGGTATAGATAGATTGATACTTAGAGGTAGAGATTTTTCCAATTAAGAAGACAATTAAATAATTTGGTGATAGTTAATTAGGCATGCAAAGAATTAGGCATGCAGTTAATTATTTGTCCAATTAATTAAGCATACATTTAATCGTGTCGAATCATTTTGAAAGCACTCGCAGGGCAAGGACGGTCAACAAGCTCTTAGCGACGTGGCCGAGCACCGCTTGCCAACATGGACAACAACCACCATCCGCTCGTGACATGGGTGACTAAGTGTTAACCAAGATGGATGATGACCATGCTCTGCAGGATGTCCACACACTGGTGGTTGCCGAAACATTCGCGGTCGATGACATCACGACACTATACTAGCCAGGTGGTTTATGCTATAGTAGAAAGGAAGAGTGTTTCAAGAATAAGAAGGAAAACGAACTAAAATGACCATGTGGTCTATGGTGTTGGAGAAGAAAAGAGTAGTGTTCCAAAAAATAAAGCGACAAAAGAAAGAAATAGTATTATAGGAAATAAGTAGGAACAATAACTAAAGCTGGTGAGGAAGGAGGAAGAAGAAGATGAGGCGTTGCTGACGAACGCACTGATGTTGATGTGGTACTGGTTGGTGCCAACGAAACGGGTTGACGAAAAGGCTATGAGTAGAAGATGTAGGGGAGGACGAGGAAGAGAAGAACCACAAGTATCCCTCCTAGCAAGGAGTGATGTGTGGGCTGGAGGTGATCTTATTGGTGTCTGGAAATATGTTCCGATTGTCAGTCGCCTCCCACGTCAGTGTGTATGTGTTTTTTCTTCTGTTTCACCGGTTGCAGAATTCAAGGGACATATGACGTCGTTTCATCATTGACATTGACATGTTGAGCAAACTTAAAATAGATACGAGATATGCGAAATGGGAGAAAAATATTGACACCAATTGCGATACAATTAGAAACCCTTAAAACAAATTATTTTACTGTGTGTTTTTGCAAAGTTGAATGGATCTTTGAGAATGATCTCTATAGTTGTTTGTTATTTTGTGGCAATAGTATGGGTTAGTTCAACCCATTTTATTATATTTGAAATATGAAAAATTTCATCCTTATTGCAACACACGACGAAGGTGGGGTGGGTGTCACTCTGTTTTAAAGGAGAGGGTACCAATGAGAAATGTCTCACTACGGCGGGAAACCAAGTAGGAAGGGGAGTCGACAGGAGAAGAGAAAGGTGCGTGTAGGGTGGGGTTTTTGTGTTGGACCCGGATGTTGAAGATAACATAACAGATAGTCCGGACAATGATATTTTCCTCCACATATGATTTGAATTTGGGACGATTGAATTTTAAAATCCTAGAGGATTTTAATCATTTGTTTGATTTATTTAATATGCACTATTGCACGTAGCAATGCACGTGTGTTCTAGCAGGGACCGGGGAAGAGCTATACTCCAAATAGGACCTCCCGTCTTGGGCATTTCGTATTCGACGCATATGTGTGAAATAGTGTACTAATGCTACACGTCGCCCATGTAGGTTTTGTATCCAAAATCTAAAAAGTGACCGCGCGCTAATTGATGAGAATGAGCAGTCGGGCTTTCTAGCCATGCATGACTTGTTTTTTTATCTGCTAGTACATGTCGTTATCAGCATTTAATGTGTTCATACTAGTTAATCTGATTTGAAAGAAATAGCTTCACGTACAATTATTTTGGTTTTCTGAATTTTTAAAAAGCCATATCTTTCAAACCGCGTGTCGGAATTCAGATCCATCTTCACTGTTGAATTCTTTGTGATAAGATCTTTGAAACTAGATCCTGCATGAGTATGTTTCGACGAGTTTTTTTTGATGCCAACTTTCACGCTATATTGTGCAATTTCAGTACTGCTTTGTGCAACTTTAATACTGCATGGTGCAATTTTTTTCAAACCCAGTTTTTTGGAGCTGCATCCATAATAGTTGTAGTTGCACACATAGTAGTCCTAGTTTTTTTTGCGAAACACATAGTAGTCCTAGTTGGCACATGCACGGCCACAGAGTTGCACAATCGGGTCCGCATAGTCGCATATGAATTGTCATATCTTGTAATGTAATCTAGTTGCACATATATTGATGTTTAGTTGGCATGTAACATAGTCTAGTTGCGCACACATTGATATTTAGTTGGCAGGACACTAGTTGCACACACATAGGCTCAGTTGGCTTGTAATTTAATCTAATTGCACACATATTGATGTTTTAGTTGGCAGGACACTAGTTGCACACACATATGCGCAATTGACGTGGCAATGTAATCTAATTGCACACAAATTGATATTTAGTTGGCAGGACTAGTTACACACATATATGCTCAGTTGGCGTGGCAATGTAGTCTGGTTGCACACGCATTGATGTTTAGTTAACAGGACTATTGACACACATATACTCAGTTGGCGCGACAATGTAGTCTAGTTGCACACACATTGATGTCTAGCCTGCTTCAGGACTATTGGCACGCGCATATGCTTAGTTGGCGCTGCATGTACTCTAGTTGCACATATATTGATATTTAGTTGACAGGAAGACTAGTTCGTCGAAACATCCCCATATGGGATTTACTTTTGAAGAACACGTCGCGAAGATTCCAACGGTGAAAACGGATCTTAATTCCGAAGTGTGATCTAAAAGTTATGATTTTTTAAAAATTTGAAAACCTAAAATAAATACGTTCATATCTGTTCACATGTTTGCTGTTGTAGTATTTTTTATCAATTGAAAAGGACAAACTATTATCTTTTATGGATTAGAGACTAAAATTGTTTGTTTTAGACCGGCCGCTCGGCACGACTAGCGAGCAGCCGGCCGCTTGCTAGATCGGTCGGGTTTTGTATGGGCCGGCCTCGCCCAGTCTCAGATTTACGGAAGTTTATGTCCTGTTTTTCTCCTACCCAAGTTCTGTTTTGGGATGCTTGGATTGGTGTTTCTTCTATTTTCGGTCGGATTTACTCATCTTATGTTTTTTTGTTTTACTTTTTCTCATTTTGTTTTTTCATTCTTTTTTCAATTTTTTATTAAAAAATTCCCATTTGGAATTCTTGGTCTTATTTTGAAATTGTAATATTTTTTCAAATTCAGGAACTTCTTTTTATTTCATGAACTATTACAAATTCATGAATTCTAATTTTCAAATTCACATTTTTTTTCAAATTCATAACTTTTTAAAAGAAGAGCAGTTGCTGGTTTCTCTAAAGCAGCCAGAAAACGAAAGCTTAAGATCGTTGGGCTGGTAGTTCATTAAGATCGTTGGGAGTTTAGAGTTTTGTCTTTATAAATAAAATGGGGCACCTATATACCAAGTGTTATGATTCTCGCATTTAGCATATGCAGGGTGTGTTTTTTCCGTGCTCAAGTTTGTCCTACCAAAATTTTGATTGATATTTTTCTTCCCATGTGTTGACCAACATTGGGTAATAAAATGTACTAGAGTTACTGATGAAGCATTGCCGTTCCAAAAAATTGTCAACCATTCAAATGAGGACCAATATTTTGTTCACCCCCGAAAAATTGGTAAGGTAGTATTCGCTAGCAATCTAAACATACCCACATTATTTGACAGACTGAACTCGGCCGAGTGAACGAACAACCTCAATTTCAGTTACAACAAGAGGCCACACATGCTCATCAGTTATGACTCATTTGTTTTGTTCATGCCTTTATTTTTTCATATCCATTGGTTTTCTCCGTTCATCTATTTTGTTGTACCCATGTGTAAAAGACCGTATTTGTATTGAGAGAGAGAGAGAGAGAGAGAGAGAGAGAGAGAGAGAAGCGGTGCTGGGTGTGGCTCTGAGGCATTTGTAGTGTGAGCTAGGCGCAGCTATGGGGCCTCAGAGAGACCATCAAACATGTACTCCCTCTGTCGTTATCTTATATTATGGGTCGGAGGGAGTACATATTAAGTTGCTTGTTATTATTATTTACGGGAACAAACATATCCTTATTTGTTACAACTTACAAGAAATGATGTTGTGCCTCTAAAAATGGTTCTGGTCACTTTATTTTGGGTCAAGACTCAAAAACACAACATAACATCCATACGAACATGAGGTTAAGACAAGATGAAGTAGGCCCTAATTTGGTGATTTTTGATACTGAAGAATCGTTTCGATGAAAGTAAATAAAATAGACTTCAAGTCATACTGAAACAACAACAATCTCTTGGTTCACATACCATTAGCCTCCTATATATACAACCAAAGTACTACTCCCTCCGTTCTTAAATATTTGTCTTTCTAGATATTTCAACAAGTGACTACATACGAAATAAAATGAGTGAATCTACATTCTAAAATATGTCTACATACATCCGGATGTGGTAGCCATTTGAAATGTCTAGAAAGACAATTATTTAGGAACGAAGGGAGTATATGTTTACAAATAGTTACTTCTCACATATAATTTTGGGCACAACGGATGCGTGAAAACAAGTGTAACCACAATTCCAGCGTCCTTAATTATTCAAGGGCATAGAAAATTCTTTTCCTCTCAGCATTCAACCGCTCAATCTCGTTCCTTTCCCAAACTCCATTACCCGATCTCATGAGTTTTGTTATTTGTCTATCTATTTTTTTCACCTGTGGAGAAAAATGCATGTCACGGAGACATAATTAACTACATCCACAGAAAATAAGACAAGGTTAGACTTAGAAGCATACTGACCTTTCGATGCGGCCATCTTTGTACCCCGACCCTGCGGCAGATTCCTTTCAGAACGGTGGTACAGATATCGAGCTTTTCGGCTGCCTCGACGATGGGGAGGTGAAAGTAGGGTGCGATGTCATGGAACTGCATCTTCCTGGTTCTCTCCCTCTAGCATATATGCATCCAAATTCCCAATAGTGTTACAATGGTATTGGTACGTACATACACTAGAGTCTATTTTCCTTAATTCTTGACACATATAGTGTCAGCGACATACCTGTAAGGCAAGTACGCTCCTGCCTGCGACTACCGGCTGGAAGGGTTGTGGCTGAACATGCAACTCCATGGTATTACTCGGTGGAGATGGAGATGGCCCTACATATATACACGCCAGACGGCCGGTCATGGTTGATTTTTTGTACTAGAACCGAATCGAAATCCTTTGCAAAAGCAAACCTGCAGGTTCTGGCTCTGTGTTTCTCTGCATCGCAGGCTGGACGGCGGCAGCAAAGACGTCGACGGTGGGTTGCCCATGGCCACCATTTCTCGCCGCTGTTCCTTCATCGTCGTGGTCGCCATCGTTGCCCTGCACGCATCGGTTCATGGTCGTGCAGAGGACGTCGAGGAACAATGAGAGCGAGTCACGCACGACGGCGTAGTTGCCGGCGGCTTGCCGCAGCGCGTAGTCCGTCAGGAAGTGCCCCACCCACTCGTAGTCCCGGTCTCTGAAACTGCGTGATCAGATTGCACCACGCAAACGCAAATTTAGTCTGCGGAAATATAATATTCTGTAAATTGATGTTGAACGGTATGTAGTACTTACTCAATGTGCGATCGAGGCGCTATTCTCGGAGCCAAACCCTCGGAGTTGGTACAACGATCTAGCGTTGCATGGTTGAAGAAGCCGGGCGCGCCATGGATTGAGAGCTTTGTCAACTCCGGCCCTAGAAATTCGTAGGCACATGTAAAATTAAGATCAGATTCATACTCTAAAGGCTTTACTAGTATTATGATATAAATCATTCTCCAACCGTTGGAATGCATCACTTCTCGTAGCACATGGCAGCCGCTGCAATCCAACACACCCGCTGCAGTGGAGGACGTCGATGGGTCACTGTGGACTGGAAATTCGTTAGGCTGAGCGACACCTGGAGTGCCGTCGCCGGTGGAGTTGTTGCGAAGACCGTCGCCGGAGAAACTGTGGCTGCACGCAGGCTGGTCCGCGTGGTGCATCTGTGCGGGCAGGGGAATTGGGGCGGTGTCAGGGTCGGGGAAGTCGTCAAGCAATTGCAGCACGTCGTCGAAGTTGTCCTGCAATGGCAAGGAGTCGTCGTCGAGCCCTAGTCCATCGGCCCCATCGCCGGTCGCCATCAGCATATATTGACTTCAGGATCGGAGGGCTAGATGATGTAGTTCGATCGAGTTCGCTTGCCGTTGGGGAGGAGCCCGAAGGAAGGAAAGAGTGGAGGGGGAGTAACATGGCGCGCGGGAGAAGAGAAATCGCACGGGATTTTGGACGACCGGCGGTTGGCGCGCACGCACGACGGTTACCTTTGTCGTTCGTTCCTCGGCGTTTTCCTTTCCGGAGAGTAAGTGACGTTTTCTTTTCTTTTTAAATGCCACACTATTATTATTTTTTGAACAAAGTCACTCAAACACACGTCTCAAAGAAAAAAAAAGTCAATCAAATACACGAGCATACATTCACCCTTGTAAACACACGCGCGTACACCCTACCCCTATGAGCACCGCCGAGAGACCAAGTTGGTATATCATCTTAAGGTTGACGAAGTCATCACATGCGCCTCGTAGTCGAGGAAAATGTCTTCTTCCATTGAACGAACATTGCCGAAAAGCCTGAAATAAATTCAGAAAAATGCGAGCACTAATGCCAAATCTAGTACCTGAACTTTGGTGGACTGATGATACCACTGTCCTCCTAACCATCCAACTACATGTTGATTCGCTGAATGCCACACTATATTAATATAAACTTAGTAAATTACAACATATGTGGCATCTCCGTGGAGAAATCAAAAGAGAAGCACACTACGGCCCTCCCCATCCCATCGCGACAACTCCAACATCTTGGTAACCCTATCCTGACACCGCAAATCACCACCGCGACGATAGCAATTGCGATGCCATGTCGACAACCTCCGGTTGTCGAGTGAATAAAAAACTATCGTCGCCGCCATGTCAACCGCTCAACATCCATCGAACTCCACGGGGGAATGAACCCTATAAAAAACAGAGGAGAGGGGGTGGCAGAGCAGTATACGCCTTAGCCCAATGCTAGAGCCAATGAACTTGATTCCGAGCGGTCAAAGACGCTCGAATCGCCAGCGCAAACAAAAAACCATATTGAATTACCTGCGGGGCACCCGCAAAAAAAGAATTACCTGCGGGGAGGAGCGTGAGTCATTTAGCCGTCAACTAGCGCAAACAATTTCTGCGCTTCACATGGCGATCCTGCCGCCAAGATCCGTGCGATGCATCCGAGGGCGCAGAGCGCGTTCACACAAGATCAGTATAGAACTGATGTCAGTTCTATAGTGTTCAGGACATCACTCACTCAACTTTCCTTAGCTAGCAGCGCCCAGTTGCTTGGGACAAACAATTGACGTTTTTACTTGACAATATACATTAGCAGAAAAAGAACATCCACACTGACAAGATTTAGAACCAGTAGGATTAATTTAGGACACGAGACAAATTCTATGGTCAGAAAATTTGTATATAGCCGAACAGATAGCACTGCATTTCCATACACCACCCAGACAATCGAACATTCGCTTCCCTTCGGTATTATCGTAAGTAAACACCGACCTCATATTGTTCGGGAAAAAAACACTGACCTCATACAACCTGAGAGAGGAATCACGAAGTTCCTGGCATGCCTAGATTTTTCATAGCAAGGAAGGATGCATTTCAAAGCTTCATCACATGCTATCACATTATGTTCAATCAGGACAGCAACGACAAAGAAGGTAACACAAACTGTGTGTAATGCAAACAATACAAAGAAGGTAACTGCAGCCCCCTCCACATTTTCACATCCAGGCTTGGGACCGGCAAAGGCAATGTTAAACCACAACAATACAAAACACAAATTATACAACAACATCAATCATTCAAGCAAAGCATACATGACACACAATCAAGCAAATGCAATATCAATGCAGCTCCCTCCACATTTTCACATCCGGGCTTGGGACCGGCAAAGGCAGTGTTACACCACAACAAACAAAACATACAAAACCAATCATTCAAGCAAAGCATTCAGGACACACCATCAAGCAAAGCATTCATGACACACCATCAAGCAAAGCATTCAGGACACACCATCAAGCAAAGCATTCATGACACACCATCAAGCAAAGCATCCAAGACACACCATCAAGCAAAGCATACATCACACACCATCAAGCAAATGCAATACTAATTCAAACACATACACACAGTCGGTCACACAGAGAGTCACAGTCACAAACAGATTCAATCACACACACACACACAGTAGCAGTCACACAGAGTCAGTCACACATACACAGTCAGTCACACACACAAGAGATAGAAAGGGCACAAACAGAAAGCTAATACTACAAGCAAGACCCATAATGTAAGTTGTTTGGCATGCAGTACCTTCCAGGAATAACTTTTGCTATTTCTGCTCATTTATTCCCAAATACCTGATGGCATTAATCAGTGCATGTTCCTCAGTAGTCCAAGCATCCTTCCATATGTTTGGTTTCAGATGATTATGCCACCTAAGATGTTTTGAATGAATTCAAAAATCAGCTTCATATTAACAACTATGATGTTTTGAATGAATTCAAAAATCAGCTTCATATTAACAACTACATCACCTAGACCAAATGTGTTTCCCCCGATAGCAGCCACAACTTGATTGAAGAATAGAGCAACCGTCTGCAGAAAGAAGAACAAAATAGTTAGCACAGACTGCGAATAGAGAAAGAGACGCCAAGAAATAACAAGTTACTCAAGGCAATTACCTGTTCATTAGCAATCGGAGGAAGTCCACCAAAGTAAACACGACGAGAATGCCGAGTAACATAAGAAAATAGTAGTCAGACATATGCATCCGGAACAAGAAAAATCTCAAGCACAAAGGAAAAAATCGAGCATACCTACTGTGTCGTGGCAGTGGCTGCATAGCAAGTGGATCGATGCAAAGGAAAGAAAGAATTAGAAAGTAATAACAAAACATTGAATAATAAAGAAGCATAATAGATCACAGGTGGGTTCATTCTGCCATCACCAAATAAACTGCAAATCAGAGTGAATCTGGTCGCGTTGTGATGACAGAATGTACTATCCATGATTTGACTACTAGCTGCACTGAATCATAAAAGGAGCACAGTAGTCACCTATCCTAGAGCGGATAAATTGAACATGTTCGGGAGCATGTTCGGAAACATCCCAGGATCAGCAGCAGGAAGTTCTGGTAGTTGACCTGCAATGCATCGACAGAGAATTGTTACCAGTGTGTTTACCTTGCACATAGGGGGAAAATGCATTTCAGCAAACCATATAAAAATAAAACAATCAAAAGAAATAACTTGCAATGCGACCATTTTGTTAGTCCATACTTGTTTACAAGGTCAATAATTTTGTCATCTTCCTGTAGAAAAAATATCATAAATATAACTATAAAATGTGCAAAATCTTTTTTTTTCTCGAGCAAAGTCAGGAGTGCAATGACAAACCTCTTGAGTCCAAGGACCTTTGATGAGTTCAGTGTTAAAGAACCTTCTGCCATGGATGTAAACATTGAACCTCTGTCCTATCCGGAAATAATTCAGCTGCGTAGGTAGATACTGACACAATATGTGAGCTCACCACACTTTCATATATAGAACAACATCCAAAGAAGCATGGTATTACTAGCTAAAATGTGGGATATGCATAAATATTGTGTACAAACTTGAAAGGAGTTAAATTCGAGAGGGGTTACCATACAAACACAGACCATGTTATGAGTGATCCACGGCTTCAGTTCAAACACAAGAAGCACAACATAAGAACCATAACAAATCAAATTAGCCATCATGAAAACCTCCATCCACCCTGGATTCTACATATACATCATTGTGAGCACAAACATCATACTTGTGGCAGAAAAATATACAGCAATGCATTGAAGAGTGTCCAAAGGGCAATGATACTACCAACTACAGAGGTATGTAGGTCAGTAAATTACATGCCCATGACCTTATAGAAATTTCCATGCATAGGTAGTTATGGAGTGCTTGCACAATGACACGCAGTCACAGTCAACACACGTACACACAGTCACAATCAATACATAGTCATAAAATGACACACAGTCACAGTCAACACACACACACAATGGAGCACTTGCACACAAGAAACAGACAAAGAAGGGGCAGAGGCGGTGGTGGCAGCCGAAGGCTCGTCCTTGGCCGAGGTGCGCGTGGCGTGGTGGCGGAAATAAAAGGAAAGTGGAGCTGTGGGTTCATGATGGATGGAAGGATCCGGAGCGGGCAGGGGCAGGGGTAGGCATTAATGCGAGGTCGGCAGCTGTGCGGTGCTTCCCTCTCGAATTGGGGGCGGACATGGGAATTTCTTACCGTTGCGATGCCCATCCACACCGTGTCTTGGAATTTTTTTCTAATATTCTCAAAAGGAAATTGTTTTTTAGTAGTACAGGTCATGGCATACCATACCATATTAGGCCATATCAAACGCTGTCCATAATCCGACGGCCAGCTGAGGCACGCAGAGTGAAAGTGTGGTTGCCGATGAGCAAGAGTAGAACATGGGACACCTATCGGCTCATGGGACTCGAGGCCTCGCCGCCTCCCATGCCCTACTGCTCCTCGTCGGAGTCTGTAGCATGTCCGTCACCAGTTCATGTGAGATCGATGATGGACATGGACGGACATGCCTTGTCGTGGAATCGGCACCCTTGAAACTTCATTGGCGGCGCAAAAGGTGCGCAACTGCCGACATTCTCATCCGCGATCGCCTCCGCGTCCGACTGTGACGCGACCGCGTTGTAGGCGGCATGAGCAAGCGCAGCCTTGTACAACACCCTTTGCTCAGTGACGAAGTTGGGTTTCTCCGCGGCCTTGGCCGCCTCCTCCGCCTCCATGTAGGACTGTGTTGCAGGCGGCATGAGTGTGCACAGCCTTGTACAACACCCTTTGCTCAATGAAGTTGGGGTTCTCCGCGGCCTTGGCCGCCTCGGCCTCCTCGCTCACGAAGCTGGCCGTAGATTTGGCCTTTTGTCAGCCCATGCTGCTGGAGGAGGGAAAAGTTGTACCATGTTCCTCTTGTGCCTGCCAGAACTCTGACATCGACTGTGGCGCCGGCTGCCGCTCCGCCATGGC